TTTTATAAAGTTATTGACAGATTTGGAAGGACTCAAATAATTTCTGTAATTTGCTGTATATTAATAAATTCTGGGATTTAATTTCTTTGCCCAGGCAAAAGGTGTGTGTGTTTTGTTGCTGTTGTTTTTAAACTTCCAGGTACTTAATTTAATTTCCAGAGAAGACTTGAGCCATCTCACCTACTTAGTCCTTTAAAGCTTGTCTGGATATTTGTTATATACAGTTAATTTTAGTGGTGGCTACAAGGTTAACTTTTACTACTGACAATAATAAGTATAATCTCAAGGACAGATTATGCCTTCTTGTGGGATATATTTCTTTTTTCAAGTTCTGTCTTTGACTTTCTGCTATTTGTGAAATTGATGTCCATCAGACTGTTTATTGGCTTTGCCCTCAAGTACTGGCACTGAGTTCTGGCTGATCAAATTCTAGGTTAGTACTTATTAAGTCTTATGGTTATCGTAATTGATCATTAGCAACTATTTGCCTATCATAGATGCCACTTCATAAGAATAGTTGGGAATTTGCTTGCACCATCGTCAAACATCCCTTGTCTCATCCTCTACCCCCCAAATTGTTTATCTCAAATGATCAACCCCTTAGCAGTTTGGCTTTAAATGTTTGCTAAACTATTTGGTCTGTCAGACTGTTCATTATTCTTAAAAGCATTGTGGGTTGGGACCATAATCTCTTCTTCGCTAAAAAAAAAAAGGATATATAGTTACCTTGGTACTAAGGTAATGTGAAGGCTGAAATGATAAAAACTATATTTCATGGAATCTAAAATGAATTCTCTTCAAAGCACATCCCAATTTGAGAGAGATTAATGTTTTTTAAAAGTCTCAAGAGTAGATGAAATAACAGTCAATTAAATCAGCAAGGGCTATTACAAACTGTCCGTAATAACAGTGAAGGCATTCCACCCACTCCCTCTTCTCCCTTAGTGTGTTATGTATGTATAAGAATGGACGTATTTTACCAACTCTGAGTTGTAAGGTAAGTATAGAATATGGCCAGGTTAGAATATGAGAGGGAAGATGAAAGGAATCAAGTTAGAGATGGGTAGAGTTAGTAACTTTGCCCTTCCCCCCCCCCAAATTCCTTCTGCTTCTCGCCCCTCTACTTTCCTCCCCTACTTTCTTTTTAAGCAGAACCCGGAAAGAACAATTTGTAATTTAAGGAAGAGAAATTCATAGGTAATCCGTATTCTTCAGTAGCTTGGGGTCTGAGGAGGTCAGAGTTATTGGTTAGAGAAACGAGAGAAACAAAAACACCTACCTTTGTATCTTGAAGAGGTTTATAGGTTTTGAACTAAGCTGATAGCCAGAATTTAACGTTTTTCATCAATAAAGTGATCTTTAAAATATTCATTTTGCATTGTTGAATTCAATTACACAAGAAACATAAATTTAAATTTATTTTTATTTACAGATCAGTGCTAACATCTTCCGTACTCTTCCTCCAAGTGATAACCCAGATTTTGATCCAGAAGAGGATGAACCCACGCTTGAGGCCTCTTGGCCTCACATACAAGTATGGAACATAATTATGTATTGACAGTTTTTATATTTATGATATTCTGGATAAATCATGGTTCTTTTAGATTCTTGATCAATTTTGTTACCTTTTTGTATGTGTGTACCCCAGAGCAAAATTATCTGTATTGTTGGTTGATTAGAAAATTATCCATGAATGAAAATTTAATTGATATCAACTGTTTGTTTTTTCTTGTTATAACACGAAAAAGTAATGTTAGACCAGATAAACATTGCTTCTTTTGCATAGTTGGGCAAAGGTGCATCAAACAAAGCTGTATTTACTCAGATCCCAAAACTGTTGTTAGCCGTAGGATGTTATTTAACTCATAGTAGTGAAAATTTGTTGTCATTTGGTGAATAATAGGGCCCAGATCTGGTAATGCTTTTGTATGCCATAAAGTCTGTGAATTTAACATAGCACTCTTTTTTTCTTTTATTCTCTCTTCTACATCTGACCTTACTGGCTGCCTGAATTTTTATTGAATGACTATTTTTACTTTGGGATTGAATCCTCCTTTTTCATTTTAAGGGTGCTAAATTAATATAGTATTGCTTAATAGCTAATAAATTAAGGTACTTTGGAGGCTAAATTTCTGCCTTTTATAGCTATTAGGTTTATTAGG